CGTGAAGCTGTCACCCCACTGTTCTCAGGCTTCCATTGTTCATGTTTGGAGTCAGCATTAGCTGTCAATCCTTTGAATGGGTAATGCCTTTTTTGAAGTCCTATTAAGATTTCCATTGGTTTTCACAGTTCACTATACTATTCTTGGCTTGGATTTCTTTTTTTTTTTATCCTATTTCAACTTGTTAGGATTCTTGCATCTGTGGATTGTTGTCTTTTATCAGTTCTGAAAATTCTTAGCCATTATCCCTTCAAATAGTACCTCTCTCACACTCTCTTGTCTTCTGAATGACAGTGGAATGTAATAATATATTTGACTTTATCACTTTCTCAGCCCATCTTCTAGTTGTCTTAACCTTTTTCCGTATTTCCAGCTTTTTACTTTCTGTTGCATTTAGTTAATTTCCTCTCATCTACAATTCATTCATTGTTTGCTATGTCAACTCTGAGTCCACATCCATCCATCAAGGTTTTTTTTTTTTTTTTTTGAGACAGAGTCTCACCGTGTTGCCTGGGTTAGAGTGCTGTGGCATCAGCCTAGCTCACAGCAACCTCAAACTCCTGGGCTCAAGTGATCCTCCTGCCTCAGCCTCCCGAGTAGCGGGGACTACAGGCATATGCCACCATGCCCGGCTCATTTTTTGTATATATTTTTGGTTGGTCATTTAATTTCTTTCTATTTTCAGTAGAGACAGGGTCTCGCTCAGGCTGGTTTTGAACTCCTGACCTTGAGCAATCCTCCTGCCTCGGCCTCCTCAGAGTGCTAGGATTACAGGCCTGAGCCACCGCTTCCAGCCTCCATCAGGCTTTTACTTTTGGTGATTGTACTTTTCTCACTTTCCTGTTTTTTATGACCTTGACAGTTTTGAGGAGTGCTGGTCAGAGCTGTATCTTTTGGGATTTGTCAGGTGTTTTCCAGATGATTAGACTAAGGTGATGTGCTTTGGGAGAAAGACCACAGCGGTAAAATGCCATTTTCAACACTTCAAATCAAGATGACATCACCCGGCTGAGGTGGTGTTTGTTAACCTCGGGGCGCCTGGTGAAGTGGTGTCTGTCAGGTGTGTCCACCGTCTGCTGCGGGTGCTCTTGGTTAGGAAGTCACCACACGCAGTCCTCGAGGAGGGGGAGCATCACTCGCCGTAAGGGCAGAGCATCTACAGAAATGACTTGGAGTTCTCTGGTACAGATTTCTCGTCACTCCCATTTATTCATGTAACTATTTATAATCAATATGGACTCATAGATATTTATTTTTATACTTTTGGATTATAACCCAATACTACTTTATTTTGATGCTCAAATTGTTCCAGCTTTGGCTGTCTGGAGCTTTTTCAGTTGGTTCCCGTGTCTCTTTGACAGTAACCCCAGCTTTGATAGTTTTTGAGCACTTCCTCACTTTCTGGCACTACGATATTCTCCAGGCATGTGCTATGTGTTTTCTGCCCCAACCCTGGATCAGCCATTTCTTCAAGAAGCCCTGAATCCTTTTATTGGACGTGGTGTTAGAAACCTAAAACCAGGAGCTAAGTGTGCTTGTCGCCTTCTCAGCTGATGGTGCAATGAAGTATGTGTGCACATCACTGTCAGTATTTCTGTGTGGAACCCTCTGGATCAATAGGAAGCTAACATGAGTTCATCCTGGTGTCTCCAACTCAAGTTCATTACCACATGGATTGGTCTTGCCTCCTCCTTTCTCTGTAACCCCGACTCCCACCACCTGCTGTCGATATCCCAGTAGTTATTCTTAGTAACCATCTTTGCTATAATAGAAACTGTGAACTTCCTTGTTTGTAACATGAATGGTAGACTATCATACAGACTGTTGTGCGTGTGACTATTTCTCTGGGCAGACACGTATATTTGGCATCATTCTTGCTGGCACACTAGGTCTACCTTGTCCTTTTTGAGGGCTGGACAATATTCCGTGGTTCTCTAGTTTATTCATCACCTTGCTTATTAATGAGCATCCAGCTCATTTCCAATATTTTGCTACAACAGCACAGCAGGGATTATACTTGTTTTGTGAACATATGGGAGGATTTCATGAAAGTGAAGTGCTTGATCAGAAAGTGAAGACAATTCATAATCTGATACTGTTAAATTGCCCTTTGGAGAGTGAGCCCCCCATCTCCTCACCCTCAGCATTTCCGTACCTATTTCCCAATGCCGCCTGCAAAGGAGAGACTGATCAATCTTTCTCACTGCAAATGAGATGTGAAGGAAATTCACTTTGTCATATCCAACACAAACATACACTTTACAACCCCCCACTGCTAAATTTGACTGGCTTAAAAAAAAAAAAAAACACATACTTTGACTTTAGAGAGGTATATTCTATTCAGAAATTTTACATTTTTATGTAGTCAATTTGTCACTCCTCTTCCAGGATTTTGTGTCATGTTTAGAAAGGCCTTTCATCTTCTATGTTTTCTTTTAGTACTTCTGTAGTGTACTTAATCTGACATGCAAACAAGCATGACCACTTGTATGCATACCACCCAAGCATCCTGGGTAGGCAGAGCCCTGCCCACCCTTCCTCATCTCACCCCCTTTCTCTCAAGGAACTAACCACTTTCTGATTCGGGATTTCTCATTCCTGTTATTTGCAAATTTTTGTTATTGATCTGTTACTAGTCCATGTTCATTTCCGTTCTGGTGCATGCACCTTCTCAGCAGCCTGGCTTGGCCCATAGGCCATATTTAGAGACTATTGTATGGTGGTGGTGTGCATATTTGAAACACAGCATGCAGATGTTCTGTCCCTGCACTTAGCTTCACTGTTCAGGGAGATTTATCTAGGCCGAAGCCTGTAGTTATAGTTTATTTTCATAGCTGTTGAGTATGATTTGAATATGCCTCAATGTATTTATCCATTTTCCTGCTGCTGTTACTGGTACATTGTTTCACTTTTCTCTTATGAACACTCTGGTGTGGCTCTTCTGTACACGTCCGAGTGTCTGGATGATCTAGGAGTGGACCAGAAGGATGGGTGTGGAGACCATCTCGTTGTTCCAAGCACTTGCCTCCCATGTAGGGAGGATGTGCCCTCCACATATTTGGCATCAGGAGACCCATTTTTTTGGTCAGTTGACAGGCATGAAATGGTATCTTGTGATTTTAATTTGTCACCAAGGGTTGAGCATCTTTTCACATTTATAAACCATTCAGGTTTTCTCCTGTTTATATCATTTAACTGCTGTTCTTTTGGGAGTGTAGTTTCATTTTTCAAATCTTTTGAATTGTTTGCAATTTATTGGGTGTAAGGGATACAAGCTCTATTTTTTCAAGATGACCACCCACGTAAGAAGCCAACTTTCACTTGCCAAGGTGAAATACCACCCTTCAAATTATGCATTTAATTACTATAGCTTTCTGGGAGTTTTGGTATTTAATTATCAAACCAGAGTAATTGGATATCCATCATCTCAAATATTTGTCTTTTGTGTTGGGAACATTACAATTCTTCTAGCTATTTGGAAACATAAATTATTAACTGTAATTTCCCTATTATAGTATCAAATACTTGATAACATATTTCTTCTAACTGTATGCTTGTACCCATAATTACTATAGTTTTGTGTGTCACTAAGAGCTTGGTGCACTCCATCACTTTGTTCCTCTCATTATTAGAATCAACCTGCCTGATTAAAACCATGATTGGCATTTCCATGTACCAGTAAGAATTACAGATCATCCACATTAAGATAGGAAAATTTCCTATCTAAGAATAAGATATTTCCATCGATTAGATATGACCCTTCGTTGCTTTTTTTTCATTCCATTTTTTCTTTGATTACATTGACTCATGTATCCAGAAGTGTTAGGTAGTGGGCAATAATGGACTTTGAGTGTAATTCTGAAGTGTCTTAACACTTCTAGTTTACTTTTAAGTTTGTTCTGATAACTGAGAATTTCAGTATACTTTTTTCTTTTTAAGAATAGATGCTGGCCGGGCGCGGTGGCTCGTGCCTATAATCCTAGCACTTTGGGAGGCCAAGGCAGGCGGATTGCTCAAGGTCAGGAGTTCAAAACTAGCCTGAGCAAGACCCCGTCTCTACTATAAAAATAGACAGAAATTAATTGGCCAACTAATATACATATATAGAGAAAAATTAGCTGGCCATGGTGGCGCATGCCTGTAGTCCCAGCTACTCGGGAGGCTGAGGCAGAAGGATCCCTTGAGCCCAGGAGATTGAGGTTGCTGTGAGCTAGGCTGCCACCACGGCACTCATTCTAGTCTGGGCAAGAAAGCGAGACTCTGTCTCAAAAAAACAAACAACAACAACAAAAAGAATAGATGTTAAATTTTATCAAGTTTTACTACATCAGTAGGGTTGATAGGACTCGTAGTGTTTTTGTTAGACTTATAGAATCATCCAATTCTTGCATCCTGATTATTTTTTGAATTCCATAAGGTGGTTCTTACATTACTATAAAAAAAATTGAGACAAGCCCAACTGCGAACCCATCTCCAGAAAATAAGCACTGAATGTCCAGCAAGGGGATGAATGCTAGTAGCTGTTTCAGTTACATTTCACTCTCTCTTCTACATCTGTCAACAGGATATGCAGGATTTTACATTTTGCATCTGAACACTATTAGAAGCATCTCTCCATTGCTACAATCTCCAAAATTTTTCAGGCTGCCGACAACTCTGGGTGGAGCCTCAGCTTTCTTGATTGTGGTGACAAGTTAGGCCTTGTGTTTGTTTCTCCGAAGACCCCACTGGTGATACACACTTAGCTTTCCTGTCATTGAAGGGCAAGGAGCCAGGCAGGGCTCTTACAGATCGTGTTTTCCCATAGGCGGCACTTCTACCAGTCTGTTCCCCTATGCACAAAGTCATGTCCAAAAAGTTTCCACCCCCTTGTACCCACGAGAGCCACTCTGCTCAGACGGAGCCCTCCCTGCCTCCCGGCAGAGGTACAGGCACGAGGCTGGAGGCCCTTGGTACCCACCACTCACCCTCCCACAGAACAGTCACCACCGCACTGAGAATTTATCGTAGAATAGATTTATTTACCTGAAACCATGTCTGTGCAACACTTATTGTTACCAGCACAGAAAGAAACAAACTGATCTCTATTTACAGTCTAAAGTCAAACATGCGTTGATAAATTGACATTGAGCATTTTATTAAGATAAATGCATCACAATATTTGTATTGCACCAACATCTGTCTACTGCTTTTGCTTTCATTAAATAAGTTACAATTAATACAGTGCGAAATAGCTGTCTGCACTCTAAAAAAATAACCAAAGTTATGAACTGGAGGCCTACATTTAACCATTCAACACTTGTAGTGTTTTTAATGAATTTATAAATAAGCAAACTGTACAGGGCCAATTAAAAAGTAGCATGTTTCAATGTTACTGTAGAGAAATTGGCTACTTACAACTGAAAGCATGCATTACAACTGAATATTGTACATTTACATAAGCTGTGATGTTTTTGCACAGAGAAATGTGGTGACTTGGCTGATGGCTTCTAAGTTCATGGATAAGGTTTTAGAACCTTATTCTTGCAGCAAAGAAACCAAACTTCTCTGGAGAGGCTTTCTGATTCCTTAAGCTAAATTGTACATTTGTAATATTTTGATTTAAAAGCTAAAAACCCCATTGGTAATACACATTTCCTCCACATAACACACAATGAGTTGGGAACTTTTTTTCTACTTTTCTCCCCCCCCAACATCAATCATGCAGAGGGTTGGTAGATGTGTTGCTAAAAACGCACATGCACGCAACCGAATACCCTTACATTTCTGCAAAATGGTTTAGGAAGTGGTTACTCCAGTATTGCTGAAAAGGAAAGAGAGAGGAAATCAGCTTCATGAAATATAGGAGGAAATGTTAGATTAACTATTTAAGATGAAGATCAACAGTGACAGTTGAAAAGGAATATTCAGCTTGATTTCAAGACCAGCATTTCTGATTAACTGTCCCTGAGGTGCCGCCCACACAGGGTTGCATCTAGAAGCACTGACTGACACAGACCCCTCGCGCCATCTGGCGCCACAGCAAAGGCTCTGGGGAAAAATCCACGAGGCAGACACTTAACATCGTTGCAGGTGCTAGAGCAGTGAGACAAGCAGGACAAGCTCTTGGTTAGCGGTGCGGAGGGTGAGGCTGACGGCGGAGTGAGCAGCACAGCAGTGGCGCAGCCCTCCCGGCCCGCAGCTGGCCTCTGGGCCAAGGCCCCGCTCCATCCACCCAGTCCTGGTGGCTCATCGCCACTTCCCTCGGTAAAGAAGGCCGAGGACCACCTTTCTCGGTTACTGTAGGGAGGTTGTTTGAACAGAACTCGGTGGTTACAGTCGAGGGCAGCCACTGACCTAGCTCATGGGCACTGCAGACAGTGGGCGCTGGCTCTAGGCTCTGGCTAGGTGGTTGGCAGACACTGAGCTAACGCTGTGGTCTCGGTGTTCCTGAGGTCTGGGCACCTCACTCACTGGGCTAAAGCCCCAGTCAGAGGGTGACGTGGCAGCTGTTGTGAGGGAGGCTGGTTGGTTGCCCTGCCTGCCTGGGAGCTCACTGAGTTCTCAGGACTGTTCCCTCCAGAAGAGATTGCCTGCGTTTTACAGAGCCGCTGCAGTGGTGTCCCAGTTAGGGCATGTGTGAGAATTGCAGGTCTTCTGGGAAAAGGACAAAGCTCAAAGAGGCAGGGAAGGCATTGGGTAGCAAAAAGTGACAAGTAGCTCATAAGTCACCTGCCCATCAGGTAAGAACTGGAAGCTGAGTCTTAGGCAAGAGCTGCCTGACAAGCAGGTGCATGGTGGGGCTGAAGCCAACCCCGCCCTCTCCATTTACCATGTCCCCTCGTAAGGGGGGTGGGTGAGGGCAGGGCTGAGCATTTGGCCCTCACTGCAGCATGGAGGCCTAAGGACAGAGATGTGCCCAACACCATGGCGCTAGACTTGGTCTTTGTGGGTTGACTCACCCGAGGAGTAGATTTTGAAATGTTTTTGACCAGCAAAGCCCATGTGGAATGGACCGGGTGGCCCTGCTAAAGCCAGCAGTGGGCCTAACCTGCTCTGAGCTGTTTGGGCGAAAGGAAGCAGGTGGTTAAACGCTCTCTCTGGGCTGGAGGGGAATGAAGCTGAGAACCCACAAGGCAACAGCCAGCCCAGGGCCATTTGGAGTCAGGTGTGTCTCCTCCTGCAACCCTCCTTACTATTCAACTTTCTTTGTAAAAGCTGCTAAGTCAAGGAACTGAGTCAGGAAAAGCTAGCTGGTTAGTTTTGTTTCCAGCGAATAGCATACCACCTGACAAGCTTAGACAGCCTACTTCAGTCTGCGGCTCAGACACATTCCTTGCATTTGATCCACTCAACCCACTTCTTTTCATACGTATGATGGCAAAACCCAACCCTGCCCCAACATTCTCTGCTAGGCAACCTGGCCTCCCTTCCTGAGAACTCCTCCCCAAAAGCAGCTAGAGGTGGCATAGCGAGCCCAACCAGGATTGTGCTTTTAGAGTCAGTCTCTATGCTCTTCTCTTCTAGCCCCTTAAATTTGGACCTCTGAACTTGACAGCACCTTGTCCTGTTTGACACCCTTAACTTCTCCCCAAACTCCAAGCATCTGCATCGTACCGCCAGGCTGCCCCAGCACCCAGAGCCTGCGCAGCTGCTTCAGCACAGTCAGGGCCTCACGGGAAGGGCTGGTGCTGCTGCACAGGCCGCCTCATCTGGCCGGCAGTTTTGGGCTAAGCCAAGCCATGCCCCAGTAACTGTGCTTTGACATGCCCTGGAGAGCTAAGTCTTAGCCACTGAGGATATGACCCAGAAAAGGTGGGGAAGGTGGCCTATTAAGAGGAACCTACTGATGCCCAAGTTTACTAGTTCAGTTAGTTGCTAGCTTTCCCTAGATGTTTGCTTTTTCAAGAACAAAGCAAAGTTCTGGGATGATTCCTTGCAGCTAACAAAGATCAAAAGCCCCCTCCCATGTTTTTACGAATCCTCATTTCAGCACTAGAGGCAGCATAGCTCTGGCCAAAACAGAATGAGGCTTTTACCCTGAGGCCATTTTTCTGGCTCAGCCCACCCTGACATCTTGCTGAGCCATTGTCAGGCAGGGCGTGGAAATCTATGGGAGTCACACTTCCAGGTAGCTAATGCCACGGGGAGTCTCCGAGAGCCAACACAGGCACCACGGGTACCTGTACTGCTCATGGGCGTCACAGAACACAGCAGTGTCTGACACAAGGGGGCTTATTCATTAATGACACAGTTATCACATTTGGTGGCAGTCACCTTTAGGCTAAAGCATCCAAATCCCAAGGAAGAAATACTCACATTAGTTGATGGATGTTGGAAGGCATTGGAGGAAAACACCAGAGTTAGGACTGTTAATGACTTATATACTGTTGGTAAGACTGATCTCGAACATGCGCAAAGATGGTGGTGGTTAGTGCCACATTCAAATAAAAATAGTTCTATACAATATGTTCATTTGGTCATGTGCTATTTACAGATTTTACAAAACACACGCACATACACACACACACACACACACTTGCCCTTATGTTTGTTCTCTACACTAGGCTAGAACAGGCCAGCAGAAACTAGCATAAAATGTATACCACAGATGACAATTAGTGCCTATACATTAAAAAATATAATTCCTACAACTACCTAATGCAGCAGAACAGGATCCTTCTTCCCCTCAAGCACAGTAAAACTCAAGTTCTAAGCTAAGAACTTAATAGAAAGCTGGACATACCTATTAGATCAAGGCAAGCCACTTAAGAGTTAAAAACAAGACCGTTATTTTTCTCTGTCCACTTAAAATGTTTTATTTTACTTTTTATACTAGATTGTAAGTGCCACTGAAATAGGCAATGTTGGCGCAAAACAATGTCTGTTACAATAAAATACATTAGACATTTAAATAAATAACCTTAAAAACTATGTGAAGGGACATAAACCCAGTCGATCGAATCTGGAACAATGTTTTCTGCACAAGCGAGAACAGGCATACCTCTTATTAAAACGACTGATGTAAACAGGACCATCAAAATCCTACAGAAGAAGCCGAGTGGGGCTGGGGATGTGGGTGGGGTGGGGTGAACAGAGGGCTGGGGGAAGGGGGTGAGGGAAGTGGCAAACCAAAAAATACTGACTGAGGTAGCAGGACTCTGCTCAGTGCAGAAAAATTGGCTTAATGAATAAAAATTAGACTGTGATATCAAATTAAATCCAGATTATCATGCAAAAGACACAATACATGCTATTTAGTTTTAGAAAAAACCACACACATTCATTTCCTAAAATCTGCTGCCAATTAATTTGCTGACAATGTCTGCTGGCTCAACTATTTTTTTATACAAGGATGAGTATTAAACAGAACACTGTACATGCTTTTTCATCTACAAAAAAATATTTGCATAAAATAGTGTTAGTTCTCTGTACATGTCAATGGACACTTTAATTATGTGTATAAAAAAGGAAAATCTCGCCCCACTGGAGTCAGAAAAAGCAAAACAAAATCTAGAGTATGAAACCTCCGTCACCAGCCAATATGTTCATGTGAAAATTCAGCAGAAATAGACAGTTGCTTTAAACAATAAAAAATTAATTGATTAAGTTAAACATCTTCTTTATGGAAAACTGTCAGTCAAGACCAGAACATATCACTAAAGTTAGTGTCTGTGCTATAGACCCAGACCACCAGGGGCATTATGAGCAGCACAAACGGCCAAGAAATCCCATCGGTGCATGCCGAGAGCGAGCAGGATTTGGTGGCGGGACGCACACACTCTTTACCGGGTTCCAGGTAGTTGCGGGCCACAAACTTGAGCGTCTCGTCCATGAGAATCACAGGCAAGGAGATTTTCAGCACCATCAGCCACTGGGTCACATTCAGCGGTGTGATCTGGAAGATGAGCTGAAACACAAAGAAGCCTCATCGTGCTGCTTTGGAGACTTGCCAGAAAGGAGGCAGCTGGTCCCCAGCCCTGGTCCCACAACCACTTACTGGCAAGGGTTCCACATAGAGGATCAAGAAGTGGAGCGACATGGACAGGCAGATGGAGCCCACGAGCCAGATGTTCTCCCAAGGGGGCATCCTCAGCAAGGACTGGTTTTCAGACAAGCTGCAGAATGATGAAAGGTATATGAGCTCACCCAAAAGGCTGTTAGAGACCTTTTGCTGGACTACATTTCAGTAAGGCAGCTGCTAACCTGGCATCCTCCATTGACCTAATTCTGGAAGTTTCTACATTGGCAAAGTTAAGGAAAAGAATGTTCAGATGTAGGACAAACTGCCAATTTTACATCTAGGCTCAACACAGCAGATTCCATCCCACAGCAGGGTCAAAGCTATTTCCTATTGCCCTGGACACTTAGGCTATTTAGAAATTTCCATTTTTGTCACTTAATTGGATGATACCATTTGTCTCAGTATTAAAGGTGAGGGCTCCTCCCTGTGGGTACTAGCATCCAGGATACTGAAGTTCTTATTTTTGGCCTCCACTGTTTCTTTTAAGGAAGAGCTCTTAAGAAACACGTGGCTAAGCACTCCCACTACTTCCTGAAGGTGATGACATCTTAAGCTTCTAAAACCAGTGTTGCTTGTTCTCCTTTTTTTTTTGAAAGGGAAGAGTTTTCCTGTGATCCTCAATCATCCATGACACACACTCAATCCCCCAGGAAGACTCACTAACCTGTTGAGGGCGTTACACATTTCTATGGTTACTAGAACAGAGAGCGCCATGGTCATTGGGTAAGGAGACTCAAAGACTTCACAATCTACTCCTTCAAAGTCCGGATTGTCCTCTTTACACTGCAGGAAATGACTCTGCAACAAAAATCCAATGAAATTCTAATCAGCCCAATCTATCCAGTCCACACCAAGCCCAGAACACAGACCAGCCCAAGTGCAGAGCAGATGAGGGTTTACCCCATTTCCCAGAGGAGCCTAGTCCTTCAGAATCATCTTAGATGCAATTATTTATTGTTTGAACCTTAAGATTATTTGACACTTCACATCTAAGGTACAGAAAGGTGGCTACATACCAGCTGGTAGAAGGATACTCTTGGACCGCCATCAGCAGCAATGAACCACCACGCAGCAGCACCCACAGTAGCGGCACCGACGTAACCTGAGAACAAATGTGAGGACACTGACGCACGTGGGACAGTGCCCCAAGGCACGCACTGCTGGTGATGCCTGTGGGCTAATCCTCAGAAGGACAAAGACCTTGATGTCAACAGTAATTGGAGCCTGAGAAGCTCCTACTAACTGCTCGTGCCCAACAATCCAAGCAGCTAGCGCAGGGACATTTATGGTATAGAACTGGCCAACCTTTCCTCCAGAGTGAGCAAGACCCTACCGAACCCCGTGCGCTGCTGGCTAGTGGTGCTATCTCTAATTAGTGAGAGAATGCTTTAAGACTGCAGGCACATGTGTACTCCACATAAGGCCAAACAGTGTTTGGGACCAGACCATATACCATGACTTTTATGCAAACTGATGCTACCTAGTAGTATAGGAATGTATTTGTTCCATGAAAGGCCCAGCAGACTCTTTCTATGGAAATGCCATCAGAGCAGTTAGTGCACAGCACTGAGCAACAAGGCGTGGCCCAAAGCATATTCTGGGACTAACCCCTTCTCTCTGTTCACTTTGACTTCAGGAAGTTTATTAAAGCAGCAACAAAGTGTGGTTGAGAACACAGAATTCAGAATAAGAGACCGTCTCTACATGGTAGCAATCAAAAATTACATGGCTGGGCAAGGTGGCTCACGCCTGTAATCCTAGCACTCTGGGAGGCTGAAGCGGGCAGATTGCTCAAGGTCAGGAGTTCGAAACCGGCCTGAGCAAGAGCAAGACCCTGTCTCTACTATAAACAGAAAAAAATTAATTGGCCAACTAATAGATATAGAAAAAATTAGCCAGGCATGGTGGTACATGCCTGTAGCCCCAGCTACTCGGTAGCCTGAGGCAGCAGGATTGCTTGAGCCCAGGAGTTTGAGGTTGCTGTGAGCTAGGCTGACGCCACAGCACTCACTCTAGCCTGGGCAACAAAGCAAGACTCCATCTAAAAAAAAAAAAAAAAATTACAAGTGCATATACTCGCTAACCCAGGAACTACAATGGTGCATTAGGCAGCTAGATATATAGTGATACACAATTGTCTTTACTGCTTCCTGTTGGCGAGATAAGGGTCAGCACGCCGGTGAGCACAGCATGCCAGAACACCTCTGGAAGGGTACATGGTATAAAAGAAACCATCAACATTGGAGCAAAGTGACTAGGATGAGCCTTTCCACTCCATACCATTACCATTTGTACTTTTTAATTAAACTGTGTGAACATATTACTAAAACAACACACCCTCCTATGGGGTCCTAGAGAAACGATTTTCTCTCTGGACCTCACTTTCCTAATGTACAAAATGGGGAAGAACTGGTATCCAGGTCAGAAGGATGAGGTCATAGATGTTTTAAGTACAGCGGGGCCCTGTGCATGTACCAGCAGGCACATGTGTATGGCAACGGGGACTTAGTTTTTTATCTTGATGATAATTATCAGTCCCACCTGTGTAGTTACAGAAGGCAGGGCCCAGCCTGAGCCATCCTTGTATCCCTTTTGCACAAATGGCTAAAGTCGAAAACCTTGACATTTAACTGCACATTCACAATAGCCCAAGATGCTAAACCAGTGACACAACCATGAAGAGATTTTAGTAAATCGGGTGTATATAGTTCATTGAGCTGCAAGAAGGCAACCTCTATTTTGCTACCCTGATATGGGAATGAAAGAAAAACAAGCTTTTATGGGATAAATTTACAATATTTTAGCCCCCAGTTTAAAAATCAGTAATATAAAAAACTGTACTCACAGCCAATAGCCAGGTAACGGAAAAACAGCCACCCACTGATCAGCGGTTCTTTTGGGTTCCGAGGTGGCTTACTCATGATGTCCAGATCAGGAGGGTTGAACCCCAGTGCAGTGGCAGGCAGGCCATCTGTCACTAGATTGACCCAGAGCAGCTGGACAGGAATTAAAGCCTCAGGAAATCCAAGGGCTGCTGTCAGGAAAATACTGTTTCCACCCAGGGAAAGAAGACAAAGACCCCAAATGATTTTTGGCCAATGCTTAAATAGCATTACCCCCCCCTCCAATGAAATCAATGACTTGAAACAACTTTTGGTGATCATAAAACATTTATACCCAGTTTTGAATTAAAGTTAACTTTTAGAAGGCCAAGAATTTTATGTGACTTTATCTGGTTAAACTCATTTCTACATGAAATCAGATTCTCTGCACATTGGGGCTGCTGTAGACAACGTTCCGTGGGGCCCAAATACCATTTACCTTCACAAGGGATTCCTGTGTCTTGTCCGCCCCACCCTCCCAAGCTGCTGCCATACGGAGAAAGCAAACTGGGAAAACTGGCCATCACCACCCGCAGTTTTTGACCCAGAAACATAAGCGATACTGTCAGAGACCCACCAGACAACTTCCCCCACATTAGACGAGATGAGGTAGCGGATGAACTGCTTCATGTTGTTGTATATTGCCCGCCCCTCCTCGACGGCAGCCACGATGGTGGAGAAGTTGTCATCTGCCAGAACCATCTCGGAGGCAGTCTTAGCCACTGCAGTGCCAGAGCCCATAGCAATGCCAATCTCGGCTTTCTTGAGAGCAGGAGCATCATTCACACCGTCACCAGTCTGAAAAGGAAAGCGAAGGTCGGTTCAGACAAACGCCACGTAACACACCCCTGAACAAGGGCTCACTGAATGGGAAGCAGAAGGAAAACAAAAAGAATTGCAAGACTCTTGGTAAAGAGATTATAGAATTTGTTTTATAATTCTGTGTCATAAAACACATTTTACCTGGGAAATGCAAAACTGCCAAATGATCTTACCGAAGAGACTTCAGAGGGAAGTGAAACACAGAAAACTTCAAATTTATCTGAATTTTGTTTATATTTTACCAAAACCAAAAATACAACCCAGATAGCAGTTAGAATGAAGTACTTACATCCAACATGGATAAATCTCAAGAAAGACGACTTGCAAAAATATATAACCCATAAAGTTCAAAAACATGAAAAAATAGTAAATGTTGCCTACAGATAAAAATGTACATAGGAATAATACATTGGTAACACTGACTAAATTCCAACTTCAGGATGGTGGTTACCTCTGGAAGACAGAGGAAGAGGACAAAGGGAGGAGAGAACACCTGTAATATCTTTAAAACAGAGTTACAAACAGAAAGCAAAACCCAATGTTAACATATCTAGGTGAAGAAAATCGGACAAGGGGAGCAATACTGAAAATGCTTCATAAACATCTAGCTCTTAAAAAACACATCACCGGAACATGCAACTCAAAGGAGGACTATCCAAACACTGGGTGACAGACCACTGACAGATTACATCCTGAACCAAGTTTTAGAAAACTTAAGATACAAACTGTCTACTTTAACCAAGACAAAGACTAGGTATCACCAAATAGCTCCTCTGTGACTGACTTAGAAGGCCCTTCTAGGTTTAAAACTACTCTGGGATTTCCTCTACAAGTTGTACACAGCATGCCAACTACTGATCAACACAATTCTAGAGAAATAACCTAGATCGTGACAAAAGAAGTTCACAAATTGGGGAGTAGCTACCAAAACTTCAATGGTCAAAATTAGAATCTGTTTTGTCTGCATCATCTTAATCACCTGGATATGTCCAAACATACTCACCATAGCTGTAATCTCATCAAAAGACTGAAGAAATTCTACGATTTTAGACTTGTGGGAAGGTTCAACTCGAGCAAAACAGCGGGCATTCAAGCAGGCATCTCTCTGGGCTGAGGGGCTGAGTTCATCAAACTCCCGACCTGTAAAAGCCTTTGACGTCACGTCCTCATCCTGCCCGAAGATGCCAATACGGCGGCAGATGGCCACGGCAGTGCCCTTGTTGTCCCCTGTGATCATGATGACGCGGATGCCTGCCTGGCGGCACAGCTTCACAGAAGAGGCCACCTCAATCCTCGGGGGGTCCAGCATGCCCACGCAGCCGACAAATGTCAGATTGGTCTAAAGTAAGAGGATCACTTTAAGTTAAAGCAGAAAATTCTGTTTTTTTCCTCTAGTTTGAAAAATGGCCAGTCATACATTATAAGGAAAGGTTTCTTATAATTTTATTAGGGGAAAAAAGTCACTACTACACTTTTGTTACCAAGTCATTCTTTGACTATCAAAACAGTAATATTCTGAAACAGGGAAAAAACACTGAGGAGTAAGCACATTATGATGCTGGCAACTTCAGTGGCTCACAGTTCCAAGGCTTGTCTCTTCTGTTCAAAGCTTTGGGATAAAAGAATTCTACTCTAGGTAGCAAAGGGGAAGGAATCTCCAACTTAGACATTTTAACCTTCAATAACTAATGAATAGTCTAAAAATATCCTCAGTTTTTAGAAAATCTTAATTTACATGAGTTGCAAAATGAGTTTTACAAGCTTACTTAAGCTCATCTTGATTATTCTACTTTGAAAGTAAGAAACTTCTATTAAACTGTTAACTATGTATGTTTGAAGCAGCAACCTAATTTTAAGAGTGACGCATTTGGCCTGCAGAAAAACAAATAACCACACCTCTTTCTTGGCAAAAAAGCAAGAACATTTGACCTTTCTATTGAAGAAGTACTGTTTCAACACAATGAAACATGCAGGGTGTGGATGAAGAAACTTTTCACTCGCTAACCTCATATTTAATAAAGTTGGCAGAGTCCTCAAGGTGCATTTCTTCTCGTCTCAGTGGGTTGTCGTGAGTGGCCAGGGCCAGGCATCGCAGTGTGTCGCTGCCGCTGCCCCACTCCCGAATGACAGACATGATCTTCTGTTTGACTCCAGGGGTCAGAGGGACCTTGGTACTTCCAACTCGAACATGGGTGCACCTGTCAATGACACCTTCAGGAGCGCCCTGGAATGGTACAAATTTAGATCAATTTGACTCATTGGCTCACAGGGACCCTGGTAAGAACATCTCAATTTGCTGTACTTGCCTTCACAAACATCTTGCTCATCGATGTCCTACTTGGTTTGTTCGGTGTACAGTAAACCGACATTGATTTTCTATCACGTGAAAATTCTAGAGTAAATTCCTTTTTCATCAGCTGTTTTATGACCTATAAAGAAAACGTAGGATATTACTGGGTGACAACTTCTGTACATCTTTCACTTTTTCAAAAAATATTCACCGAGCACCTGTTACATAATAGACACTGGGGATTATAGCAATAAACAAAACAGAAGTTTTTGCTCTCACGAAACTTGTCCTCTAATTTCTCAAAGAGTAGGATGCACAAGTCAAATCAAAGTGCTAAGGAGAAGAGGATAAGGCAGGGAATGGGGATGTGACATTTGGGTACATACAGATTGCGTTATTATATACAGCAGTCAGAAGGCTGCACCACTGGAGTAAAATCCTCAAAGATGTGTGAATGTGGCCCACTAGGCAGAGACGACAGAAGGGCAGACTGGCACACATCCTGGCATGCTGAAGAAATGCCAGCATGGCTGGAATAGTGCTTGTAAGAGAAAATGGTGAGACAGGTAGAGCAGAGAGAGGTGGAGGTAGATGTAGGATCTCAAGTCATTGTAGGGCCTTTGGCTCTTATAACAAGTGAAAGAAGAAGACAGTGGAGGGTTTCAGCCTCTGTAGTGTTAACAGGCGGAAGGGAGACGAACAACACTGCTTATACAACAATGCAAGTTGGACAAGGATGACAGCACTAGAGGAGAGGTCAGTCCAAGGCGGTCCTGTCCATCAGAACTCTGCAATGATGGCAATACTCTGTGGTCATCATTCATTCATGTAGCAGTCACAGTTGGCCACTGAGCACTTGAAATGAATGTCACTGGGGCACTTAATGAATGGTTTTTAAGTATCCTAAATAGCTTTAGGCAGCTGGTGACTACCGTATTAGACTTTTAGCACCTTGATGGCATTTAACGTTTGAGACCAGAAATCATGGGAGTAACTGCAGACAGAAATGGCTGAGGGTGTGGCCTGAGACCTCCACCTCCCAGAGCTACTGAACGATCCAGTCAAGGAGACCTTGAAGGAGTAGAGGTCAGGGAGGGAGAACAAGCACGGGGTCATGGAAGCCAAGTGAAAAGGGGTATTTCACAGAGGGAGTGAGCAATGGCACCAACGAATAGGTCAGGTCAGACGAGGAGTGAGAACCTATAGCTTTCGACTCTTGTTACCTCCCTCCCTCTCTCTGTTACCTTTCCTTTCCCATTTTTATATTTTTTTTTGCTTACTGCACAGGCTAGAAATGCCAGTACAATACTGTGTAGAAACGCTGGGTGGGAATAATCATCAGTAAGTATGATGTTAGTGTGGGCTGTGTGTAGACAGAGTCAGTTTGAAGATGTGCCCTTCTATTCCTAGTCTGATGTGGCAGAGAGAAAATTTTACCATATGCCTTTTCTGTACCTACTGAGATGATCTTGTGGGTTTCCACTTTTATCTGGTTAATATGGTAAACTACTTGCATTGATTTCTTCTCAAACACATACTTAATTGTTAAAGTCCCAAACAATCTTTATATCCACTAGGAAACTGCAGTATGCTGAGCTGCTAGACTGGGCTCCACATACTGAGACCACACCCTGTCAGCCAGAGTTGCCTCAGATGCAGAGGAACAGGCATCTGAGCGCTGTGCTGCGTTGTTTAGCATCTGAATCAAACGCCCTTCTTACCTGTCTTTAATCAAGTATACCAAAGGAATGTGTACTGCATAACATGTGGACCTACACAGGTGAGATGTCCTTTGGGGAGAGGAGAACAGAGCCTTTCTTCCAGTCCCTGGCTGGCCGAGTGGTTGTCTTATCCACATGGGCCACAGGGCTAAAACGCTGGGCCCTGCTCTCTCTGCCTCAATGACAACAGGTTCTTGCTCTGAGGTGGGGAGGGGAGGCCATGAGTTTGGGGCTCTCAGTGAATGAGCACCATGACATTTCTGATCTCCTTGCCAAGCTGATGTGAAATGAGGCAAAGGAGCCACAGAGCAAAGAGATGCCTCACGAGGCAGACGAGAAGATGGATTTCTCCATGCTGGTCAGCAGTTAACGCACCACTTTTGAGCCCCACGATGCTACTTATTTCCCTTCACTGAGCAGGTAGGTACAGCTGCAGGTCTAAAATCCCGCAAATCTAACCCTCAGACTGTGAAGCTGAGATTTCAGGTTGCCTCCAAGATACTAAGTTACACCCACTAACAGAGATGACAATGTGTTTTTGCAAGGATTCATTTTCTAAATTGAGGCAAGGGCCTGTTCCATGGAAGCCACAGGAGTAGCCCAAGGCCTTCATGGCTTTGAGACTGCTATTTGCGAATCACAGAATCTATACTTCAGCTGAGATACTGCCAATTCTGATGTGAGTTTTGTTTTCTCAGGACGTTATAAAGGCAAAATGGTATAAAGAAAACAAAAGGTGTGGCAGACACAGTGGCTCACACCTGTAATCCTAACATTCTGGGAGGCTGAGATGGGAAGATTGCTTCAGCTGAGGAGTTTGAGACCAGTCTGAGCAGGAGCAAGACCCCGTCTCTACTAAAAATAGAAAAATTAGCTGGGTGTTGTGGTACATGATTATAGTCCCAGCTACTCAGGATGCTAAGGCAGGAGTGATCACTTGAGCCCAAGGGTTTGAGGCTACAGTGAGCTATCATGATGTCACTGCACCCTACACAGGTGACAGACTGTCTCATTAAAAAAAAAAAAAAAAGGAAGAAAGAAAGGGTGTAGAGTGGCAGTGTAGTCTACCACACACAAGTCAAGGAAGGCTTGGTGTCTCTTCCTGCAAATCAGACAGGATGATCTTAAAGTTCTTTTCACAGCCTGACATGTTGTGTGGTCACTGAAGTGCTTTAGTCTCTAAGGTCCTTAAGAAAATGAGTGTGCTCCCTCCCCCAGCTTAGGCTGCACTTGTTCAATGGTGCTGCCTCCTGATCTGCCATGGTTATCCAGGGTGGAACGAAAACAAAGGGTTTATGATACATACAATGAATGCAGTAACAGCTGACCTTTCAGTAGAAGTGAGCCTTGCCTTTACACAGCTTTATATAACTAGAAAAGGCTCAGCTTTCCTCTCTCCCCTCTCTCAAACCTGTTCCTTCAAGCATGCAGTAACTGTCTTTTCCCCCTCCAGTTTCTCTTTATTCCCCCAGGGAACACTAAGTTACTAAGAAATTCTACAAAGAGGCTTCAAGCATCTATCAGCAGCCACCCAGTGGTAACAGGCAGATAGGTGGTTCTGTCCAGAAGAGCCCAATTCCATAGGAACGTGGGCTCTAAGGCTGAGAGCCAGTCAGCACTGAGGACGAGCTCTCTCTTGGCAACTGGTCTGGAGAACCCACTAGAGGGTCTCATGGGTGTGCAGACCCCGGACTGCAGGTAGGGGGTATTCACATTGGTGTGGTTTAGGGGGCAGCAACAGAGCTGCCCACAGAGCTGTTGGGCAGCTCTGTGGTACAACAATCAAGCAGCCTGTCTGCCACACAGAAAAGTAGCAGCTGCTTGGGCTGGGTGTGTTTCTCTGGTGGTGGCTTCCAATAGGAGCCACGTAAGACTCTGTGGCCTGACTTGTATCCTTAAGTTTCTCCTGCTCCTCGGCTGCTTTGAGGGCACTGCATCCTACCTCCAACCCATCTTCTCTGGCTTCTGCAGTTCCCATTCCTGAGCTTCCACAGCTTGCTTCTTCTTAGCCTCATACCGCTTCTCTCCCACTCCCCTTGCCACTTATGCTCCTGGTTGACCCACGAAGCCCTCATCTGTGCTATCTCATCTGCCCACTTATGCATGCAAGCAATAACCCACCACCTGGAGTTATCACTGAGATCCAGCAGCTTCAGATTCTTAAACTGAGCAAAGTGACAGGCAGGATGACCAGCCTGTTGTAGAAGAGATCCAGGTACTGGAGGCCAAACAGATGACTAGTGTCTGTCAGCAGCGGCTGCACACTGTTTTTACTAAGGTCTAACCTCACCTGGCTTGTGAGGCCACAGAAATCTACGGATAGTGTCGCAGCACAGGTAAGTATGGTGGTCTTGCAGGGGCTCCCTGGTAGGGACCTTGTCCAGGTTGCTGAGGCTAAGGTCCAAGAGGCTCCTACCATTGCCACTGGCCTTGCCACAGTGATGCTGGCTGAGTGAGCCCTGCCTTTCCAGACTCCCAGAGAATGCCTGTGCCTTCCATCTCTGCCACCACATCAATTGACCTTTATGCTGGCCTCATCAAATGAGTTCATAAATGCTTCAATTTTCCACTTCATCTTAAGTCTTTATAAACAGGTATTACTTCTTCCTTAAATGTTTGGCAGAATTGGGCCTAGAGAATTTTTGTGTGGGATGAGTTTAAGTTAACAGAATCATTAAAAGTTGGTTACTGGCCACGCGTGGTGGTTCACACCTATAATCCTAGCGCTCTGGGAGGCTGAGGCGGGAGGATCGCTCAAGGTCAGGAGTTCGAAACCAGCCTGAGCAAGAGCGAGATCCCATCTCTACTAAAAATAGAAAGAAATTAATTGGCCAACTTAAAATATATAGAAAAAATTAGTCAGGCATGGTGGCTCATGCCTGTAAGTCCCAGCTACTCTCGGGAAGCTGAAGCAGCAGGATTGCTTGAGCCCAGGAGTTTGAGGTTGCTGTGAGCTAGGCTGACACCATGGCACTCGAGCCTGGGCAACACAGTGAGACTCTGTCTCAAAAAAAAAAAAAAAAGGTTGGTTACTGAAGGGACTTGTCAATTTTTCCTAAGTTGTCAAATTTATTGGTATAAAATGGTTTCTGATCCTATGACTTCCTTTTTGCTACTTTCTTCAGATGGGAGCTTATATTATTGATTTTAAACATTTAATAATACATGCTTAAAGCTGTTAATGTCCCTTTAATGATGCTTCTGCATATTATGGTATTTTCAATATTTAGTTCAAAATATTTTCTAATTTCCACCATGGTTTTTCTTTCTTGATCCATGGATTATTTAAAATAATACCTTCCAAATATTTGGGGAATTTCCTAGTTTTCTTTTTGTTATTAATAGTTTAATTCCACTGTGGTCAGTAACACAGTCTATATGATTTCAATCTTTTGCCAATAGAGTTTTGCTTCATGGACCAGCAAAATGGTCTATGCTGGTGAATGTGTTTGAAAAGCATAGCAAATAGCATAACAGAAATACAAATGTTGAGTATATACTTACTGTGTTGTTCAAATCTTTTGTATTGTTACCGATTTTTTCATCTTATTAGACTGATTACTGCGATAGGTGTATTAAACTCTGCAACTTGTCTATTTTTTATTTCTGCCAATTTTTGCTTTGTGTACTTTAATGATCTATTAGATTTAGTACAAGGTCATAGATGACTCTGACAAGAGGTTTTGATAGACTGGTAGAGGCAAGAGCTCGACTGGAGAAGATCCAAGAAAATAAAGAAGTGTGGAGGCTGAAAGGGGAAATAAGGTCAAAAGAAAGTTTTAAGATAGAAACAGCACAGAATAGAGGCAGCTTGTGCTAGAAGCAAGGACAGTCCATTCACAACAACCAGGGGAAAAGGAAGCCTTGTGGGTATAGATGGTGGCTGTGGAAATTGAGTGCTTTTATTTTCTTGGTCAAATAGCAAGATCATTTTACCTGAGAGTGAATATGGGGAAGGAGATATTGCAAGTGTGAAGAGATAAGGCATAATTACTTTTCTAAGAGGACAGGAGAGTACACAGACTAAGTATATATGGCATGACTAATGGACAGCACAAACCATATAACAAGCTCAAACACTGACCGAGTTGCAGGCATTTGCACGTTCTATTTTAGAAAGACCCTTCAATTCGGTATCAAATACATTCATCTTCTCTACCAGGCAAGTTAGAGCGGTCTCTGTAGCTTCTCCAACTTTTTCATATACACCCTTTGCCTGTATTGGATAAAAGCATAGAAAGTGCAATAATGGAAAAGTAAACAGGTTAATTATTCTTTAATATTTTTTCCCACAGAAGGACAATCTGTCCTCAATTACATCATTATTCTATGGGCCGATTTATAACCTATTCTGGAGTAGATGACCTGAAAGTATAGGTGCGTGTGTTGTCTTATTCTAATAATTAGGTTCTTCAATTCCCTTGAGTGTAAGAAGCCACTGATCACAGTACTTATTAATTCAAAGAGTGCTTTCAAATAGTACTTGTAATTCCACATCACTGCCTATCACTCTATAGATAGACAGATAATCTATAGTAGATACATAACTCTACCTATAAAGTTAACATTCTATCTCTGACAGGGTATAAAAGACTTGGCTTTGTGGTAGAAACCAAGTGATTCACTTCACTAATTATAAAGAAGTGGGAAAAAAGGTTTTCTATTAAGTTTTATGTTATTTATTTATTTATTTTGAAACAGAGTCTCACTTTGTTGCCCAGGCTAGAGTGAGTGCCATGGCGTCAGCCTAGCTCACAGCAACCTCAATCTCCTGGGCTCAAGTGATCCTTCTGCCTTAGCCTCCCGAGTAGCTGGGACTACAGGCATGTGCCACCATGCCCGGCTAATTTTTTGTATATATATTTTTAGTTGGTCAATTAATTTCTTTCTATTTTTAGTAGAGACGGGGTCTTGCCCTTGCTCAGGCTAGTTTCGAACTCCTGACCTCGAGCAATCCGCCCGCCACGGCCTCCCAGGGTGCTAGGATTACAGGCGTGAGCCACCACGCCCGGCCTATGTTATCATTTTATCTTCATCACCTGATACCAAAACAACCCTCTAAGCCATAGCTTGTCCTCAGGATAGAATGCTATTTCATTTTAAGCAAAATTAATCCCCTATGCTTTCAGGTAAACATTTTCTATCCTAGGTTTTGTTCATGTAGAGTAACTAGTCATGCTGTAACAGGCAAGAACATCATATACACTACAACTCTTAGTTACATAACTACCATTGCTCAGTCACAGGTGACATATGAAAGGCTTTCAGCTTTTCTTTTAGGTCATGCTGACCTGATATAGGCTCTTGAATAGAAAGGGGAAATAAACTCAGAAACCCTTAACTTTTGTAAGGGAGGAAGAAGGCTGGATTTTCATTCTATCTACTCCACCCTTGAACTAGGAACAGTCATTTCTTTTCATTTATGAAGAGCCTTACCTCATTGTAATCCAAGGCAGAGTCATTACAAAGAGCACAAATTGTTGCTAATTCTACAAGTCCATCATACTGGTGACAGTTTACTGGCTTATCATCTTTATGCCTGTCAAAAGAGAAAACATTCTTAGATAAAAGTGTAGTCATCGCTTTGTTTTTTCCCCTATTTAATAATGAAAATGGAATTCTGGGGACAATAGACTAGAAAGCGTTCAAAAGAATTTGTGTGATGACTACTCAAAAACTGATGCTGGAACTAGTATCAGATAAAAATAAAACAAAATGCATTCCTCTCAGGAATTAATTAGTAAAAGACCAGAAATCTTAGTCATTGAAATTCCTCTACCACTGATATCAGGAAAGAACACACAGAAACCCTTGAAAGCCTGGACTCTAACAGGGAGCTAATAGATGATTGTCTTATAACCTTTCTCTTTCAAGTTTTTGTTTAAAAGGAAAAAAATGGACCACTATAGTAAGTATTGACTTAAGCCACATTCAGAAAACTGTCTAAACTGTCTTTTAAGATAAACTACAAATCTATACAAATACTAAGCTGTCACACTGGATCCTTAAATAAGGAGGGTTACTCACACTTCTCCAATAGGTGCATATGTTGATCCAGTTATGGTAAACTCATTAAGGGAACAAGTATCACCTTCAATTCTGTCCAGAATGAACATCTATAGGGGAAAATGTATAATAGTATTTAGAAAACAACTCTCTTGGTATTTAAAATATATTTTAATGAAAACACTTTCTCACCATCTTTAAATAAAAACAATCTGCATTTTTTGATCTGAAGCTTCTCTGGCCATTAGGACTTAATTGCTTTCTGCTCTACAGGTTTCAGATACCACTGCACTAACTGCCTAGTGCTCCTGAGGCATGAATTAGACATGTCCTACTGTTGTTAGTCCTTGTGGCAACTTCTGGAGCTTGATTCTTATCTGTTACAAATAAGACTCCACAGCTTTTGTCAGTCCATAGTCTATGCAAGGGCCTTAGAACTACTGAGCGCCAAACCCCTACCATAAATGTACTGACTGTCCTCTTTAGAGGCAGTGCCCAATAATGTTCAGCCTGAACTTTCCCACCGAGGGGTAGAGGAAGAACTCAAGGAAACCACTTTACTAAAACTCATTGAGGCTCAGGATCTGAAGTATTATCTTTTATTCTGACTAGCTGTCATACTGCTGAATCAATAATGAGCAGTGGCACCAAAGACACAGATGACAATCTGCTCGAAATCAGAGTTTTGAGGACTCTGGGTCAGCAAAAAGGTCAATTCCAAAGACAGGTTACTCTATAGAATGATCAGAATTTCAAATAGATGGCTGAGGAAGGGATGTTAGGAAGTCCTTAGAGCTAAGCATAAAAGCTTGGGAAGAATAAACTCACATTTTAGAGTCGCATAAACATTCCCTGAGTAAAATCAGACAAACTGCTTCTCTGATTCTTCCCACTTATTTTTGTGGCAATAGCTCATTTCTATGAAGCTGCATAACTACATGTATACAGTAAGGAGCTTGCAGAGCTGAATGAACTGATGTTCCCTAGACAATACAGATAGAAGCATGCTTAGGAAAGAACTAATTTTACAAAAGAATAAAATGACATGAGCTACTTTCTTAAAGATAGCTTTTTCCCCCTTTGGTTTGCTTTCACAAAGTATAATTCAGAAGCCCAGTTTGGAAGAGTAAGATTTAGACTTGTAGTTATGATTGCAGATGGAAACATGTAAAACCTCTCATTAAAAAAATGAAAAACAAAACACTTGAAACAAAAAAAAATGAAAAGTGATCTCAGTTGTGCTTTTGAATGCCAAAATCTCTCTGAAATATGAGCAATTAATATGATCAAACCATTTCTCCAAGAAGGAATTTTGAAAATGTAATTAAAGTCAAAAAGCCATATTATACTTTAAAAACATCACCTCAGCAATTTGGCTCACATTCAGTATGAAAATCAGCTAATATTTATTTTAAAATAACCTCTTCTATCTCACAATATTTGCTTGTTATATAGCAAATACTTTTAAATTCAAAAGCATACGCAGGACTAAATCAACCTTGGAACAGAATTAAAAAGCTATGAGTAAGACATTATAAGATGGTTTTTTAAAGAATAAACTAAAAACAGTGACAACTCCTGACAAAAGATTCTAGTTCAAATACTGTTTGTCAAATGTGACCAACAGCAAGACCCCAACTTCTACAATTTCTTCCCAACAGACACAATACCTAAAAAATGAAGTTTATCAAAAAGTGGAAGAGGACCAGGTTTAACTACCAATCTTTCCTATAAGAAAATCCAACTTTACCTTTTATGAAAACCTGTGTGACCCTCAAACATGTCACTTCTCAGTCTGTTTTCTAACCTCTTGAGCAGGACTGCCATATGATTTAAAGTCACATGGGAAACAAATTAACTGCACTAAGCAATATTAAAGAAAGCTGGCATCATTTTACATACCATGCTATTTCTTTATTGATACTATATTTATAAATATGAAATTCTTTGGGTCTATACCAAAGTCTAAAATATTCTGAAAGACATTGAGAATTCTAATCCACATTAGCTAAATCTAAATGTGCCTGGGCATTTTAGACTGTGAGCAAGTCAACCTTTTAGGATTTGCAGGATGAAAATCTTCCTGTCGAGGGCAGTTACGTAATACCACTGCAGGAAACCTCCTGTGGAATACCAATCAGCATCAGCTTTCTATTGTGAGGTGAAACACTTGGAATGCCTAGGCAGGCTTTTTCTTCACATAAGAAAATACTTTAAATCAAGCCAAAGGAGAATAAAAAATATAAGAACAAAAAAAATTTTATAATAAACTAGGAAATGGAAATTTTAAAAGATTATAATTTCATATACTGCCACTGCTTACTTTGATGGACATAGTGATATTCTGAAGAATTAAAACTTTCAGGCTAAGTTTAAATAATTTACTGGCAGGAAACTAATTAAACATGAAATTCTTTATTCTTCCTTAAACCAGTATGAAAAACTAGCTTATTTAGCCAATTTGGCCAACCTTTTGGTTTCAAGGAATGAGAACTTAGGTAAAAGTCAAGTGAAATACTTCATCTCCTGAACAAACCTAGAGCTCACCACTTGAGAGGTGGAACACCCCATTTTGTCTTAAACACCTGTCCATCCAATCTAAATCTCAGTTTGGATTTCACTAGTTTGGAGGGAATGGAGTCTGTATCCACAAATCATTATGAACTTAAAATTGGCAAGATAAAGAAAGATTTATAGAGTTTAACTGATTAAAACAATTTCTAATGCTAAAAAAATTATCTAAAACCTGGCAATAAGGCCAGGAGGGCTGACTGTATCCTTTCAGTGTCATACAGAAGTATTACTTGACAGGCCCACTCTAGGAAAATATAACATTGTGCTATTTATTAATAAAGGCTCATTTTATGTGAAGTTGATTTGTGTCCTGCAGAATAACTAATTTTATTTCCTAAGCAGAACATTAACCAGCTTTATAAACTAATTTAGCAATCCTATCCTAATATTTGACACTTCCTCAAATGTTCTTATAACCAGTTTTATAGATTCCCTCGATAATGAGCTGAATACAATCTATTCATTCTATAATTGCATGAGTCACCTGTGCCTTATGGAAAACTATACTTTGACTTGTACCAAGTTGTTTAAGTAAAACCTAGGAAAACTGATTTACACAAAAAGAACTTAATTCAGTTGTATCATTATTACCTCTTCAGGTCTTATTTTTCTAAAGCTAGGTTTCAAAGTTTTCTATTTTACTAAATGGTGGTCAAACAATAACAGGAAAGATGAACACATAGAATGAAGCAAACTGAAAGCAATTACAGTTGGCCTTCTGTATCTGTGGAGTCAACCAAACCTTGGATGGAAAAAACTGTCTATACTGAACACGTACAGACTTTTTCCTTGTTATTATTCCCTAAACAATACAATAATACAACAACTATTTACATAGCATTCATATGAGATATTATAAGTAATCTAGAGACGATTTAAAGTATATGGGAGGATACACACAGATCATACTGCTTTTTCTATCAGGAACTTGAGCATTTGCAGATATTGGTATCTGAGGGAGGTCCTGGAACCAATCCCTCATTGATACTGAGGGATAACTGTATTTACTTTTCAGGGAGAAAGTATGCTCCATTCAACATGTTATAGAAACACCAATGAGGATGTCAGGTGGGGAGGTTAACTAGCAGCTTCCTCTAGAAGTTGTCTGTTAACATACATACACCTTGAGACGGAGGATCAGGAAAGTAGAAGAGAAAGCACAGTCCATGACATATGTACAGAATGCCTCTAGTCCGCTCCCTAACACAAGTAGATCAGCTGTGTAGATATCTTATACTTCATGAAACAGTTTTTAGAATTTAAATGACTAATTTCTCTGAAATACTAGAAATTGAGCTCAGGCTATACACACAACCCACAGAACAGTATCATATTTACAAATCAAAGGTTTTCAAGGCATGAAGGCATACTGGTTGGATAAACAAAAAACCACCACAGGAAAGATTCTCCCTCTTACCCTGCAGACTGACATCTGGTTTGTTGTAAGTGTACCAGTCTTGTCTGAGCAGATAACAGAAGTACAACCGAGGGTTTCCACAGAAGGGAGGCTTCGAACAATGGCATTCTTCTTTGCCATTCTGCGAGTTCCAAGAGCCAGGCAGGTGGTGATAACAGCAGGCAGACCTTCAGGAATGGCTGCTACAGCCAAGGCCACTGCAATTTTAAAGTAGTAAATAGCACCTCTGATCCAGGAGCCTCCATGAACTGGGTCATTGAAGTGCCCAATGTTTATGATCCAGACGGCAATGCAAATAAGGGATATGACTTTGGAAAGCTGTTCCCCAAACTCATCTAGTTTCTGCTGAAGAGGTGTTCTCTCCTGTTCTGTTGCCACCATTTCATCCCGGATCTTGCCAATTTCAGTGTTAACTCCAGTTGCCACTACCACTCCCATAGCTTTCCCAGCAGCAATGTTTGTACCCTAGGACAGAAAGTAGAGAATTGGTTACAAGATTAACAGCACATCCCTACTTAAATACTGACACTGGGTTTTGACCAGGGCACCCAGATTCTCTCACCACATACATCCTACTAGACCCTTCCAGTAGCTACTTACTGTTCAGGCAACCAGCCATACAACCGTGACAAGCAATACCTCATTGTAGGCAGTGTGGTATATCTCTCCCCAATTTTGATTCCACGGAGTACCTATTTAACCCAGAGTAGCTTTATACCGACCCACCAGGATCTCTATTCACAACACTGAGCCTGGCTCACGGACCAGCTGCATTCCCAATCTTTCGAACTGCATACAGCCTCAACTCTAAGCACTCTCTACCTCTGGCTCCAAAAGCTCAGCCTTCCCTACTTTTGTCAGCTATAAGAAGAGTGACCAGCCTCATGGGCTATTTTGAACACCTCTACTCAAGCACCAGCATTCAAAATCAATGAAATCAAGTTTGAGTGTTCTCTTCCCCACCCCACTTAAATTCCTTATGTTGGAAGGATATGGCTTCATAGTTTTACTGTACCTCTACTGACTTACTATATATAGGTAGTTAGGCTCTCATACCAACCCACAAAAGTCCACAACTTGAAAATCATCCTAGATTCCAAACAACCAAAATCCATGCGTTACCCCATTATTCAAAAAATGTTTCAAATCAACAGAAAAAGTGAAACAGTACAATAACATCGATCTACTTTTCACCTAGACTCACCATTATTAATGTTTTACGACGTTTGCTTTCTCTAACACATATCTTTTTATTGTGAACTACATATCCATATCATCCTTTATAGGCTAAGGCTTTTCTAAACATTTCTACTTTTCAATTATGTTTATAGAGTTTAAAGATGTTTGACCTCATCATTTTTTTTCAACCCTCAAAAACAAAGACATCTAAGTCACACATTCCACCATTACACATTATTTATGTTTTTTGACAGACCGGCCATGAAGAGTATGAATTATCCTTTGCAATAACGGCCAATACTTTCTACCCACTGAAAGTAGGCAGTGAAAAACATAAAATCTGAGGACTGTTAAAACTATGGGAATGCATCCAAATAAAAATACATTTGAGCTAGGCACAGTGGCATGTGCCTATAATCCCAGCTACTTGGGAGGCTGAGGCAGGAATATCACTTGAGCCCAAGAGTTTGAGGTCAGCCTGGCATAGTGCAAACATGTCTCTTGAAAAAAAGATAATAAAACAAGTTTGATAAAGTACTTACAGAAAAGAGCATGTTCTTCTTATCTTGGTTGACAGCCCGTGGGTCAGGGACAGGGTCAGTGTGCTTGATGACAGAGACAGATTCACCTAAGCAGGTTGTGAGACAGGAGGGATGGTTAGATCTGTGTGATCCTCACCTAGACCCTAGAATCCCTGCCTACCCATTACCACTATTGGGATTATTTTCAGTATGGGAAAATGGACAACAGGCCCAATTACCTTAGTTTCCTCAAAGGAGGCAAACTAGGAAAATTTAGTAATGGAAATTAAGTACAAAGAATGTCAGGATTAAAAATCGATCAATTTCGGCCAGGTGCAGTGGCTCATGCCTATAATCCTAGCACTCTGGGAGGCCGAGGCGGGTGGATCACTCAAGGTCAAGGGTTCTAAACCAGCCCGAGCAACAGTGAGATCCTGTCTCTACTAAAAAAAAAAAAACAACACAAATTAATTGGCCAACTAAAAGTATATAGAAAAAATTAGCTGGGCATGGTGGCGCATGCCTGTAGTCCCAGCTACTTGGGAGGCTGAGGCAGTAGAATCACTTGAGCCCAGGAATTTGCAGTTGCTGTGAGAGCTAGGCTGATGCCACAATACTCTAGCCCAAGCAAGAGAATTGAGACTGTCTCAAAAAAAAAAAGTATCAGTCAATTTCAAAATACAAACTAAAATTTCCAAGTGAAATCCTAGTCATTTATCTTTATTTTCTGGAGCAACTATTCAAATTAATTTATTTTCTGCTATACATCTGATGTGTACCTATGAGGATGATCCACCAGGAAACCTGTTTTGTTCAATAATGCCAAAGACTAGAAAGCAGTGTATCAGAAATGTCTGAATGCACTAATCAGACCACTCTGCTTCAATGAAGTGAAACTGTAAATATGCAATTAGTAACTGCACTAAAAGGATCATATGGTATAAAGAATTACTTTTGAGAACATTTAAAGCATCTTGTTGAATTAGTTTCAGCTTTAATGTCACTTAAGAGGTATATTCTCAGGGTTAATCTGCAAAGTGAAATATGTCTGCAATTTTTAATTTAGGTAGCAGATTTCACTCTCAGTATTTGACCCCAAAACTTGGTCCTTCAATTTAGCCTAAAACTACAGTATGATTAATTTTAAAAAGATAGAAACATTCAAGAAGCTCACAAATTTTTAAAATAGAATTCACTTTTGTAGGCACACTATAAGAATTTTATATATACAATCCTATCACTTCCCCAACATTTCATGGCTTAATTGGCTTTCAGCTTGTTGTTGCTAATTGGAGTTAAGAGATAAGCTATTCATAAAGAAACAATTAAAAAGTATAGAGCCCAGGTTAGTCATATCACTATCTCCAGAACATTAGTTGCTTTTCAAAACTGATAATCAGATAAAGCCTTTAGGTTTTACATTTACTATTTAATCTAGGTTAGCATTGTATTTATTGTTAATCTTCTGACAACCTTATTTCCAGTTACTATGAACCCTCCACCCTAGATTGTGCCTTTATCACACAAAAATGGGAAAATGTTCCAAACAATTCAAAATCTAAGTGTGCACAAACTCCAGGTAGTAAAGCATTCACCTCTTAGGGGAATTAACTTTTGTTAATTGTACATTTGATTATTGTAAAGTACAATAGCTGCAAGATTAACATTCCTCCAATGAAAAAAATTACAGCACTGGAATCTATTTTTCTGCCTGGAAAAAAAAACACTGAATAAGTAATTCACTTTCCACAAAACAGAAAGACAACACTTCAACCTTAAAATTATTACCTCTGCTAATGAAGGAATTTTTAACTTTTTAAAAAATATAAAAACAAAGACTTTATTTTAAAATAAATTTTTTTTATTTTAAAAACTGTTTTCTTAAAGTTAAAAAGATAAATAGGGGCCTTATGAGATAAAAGCCACGTTTGTTTTGTTTTTTAAATCATGGCTTTAAAGCCCATATTGGCAAAAAAACCTTACTGATAAAGGACTAAGAAATTAAGTATTTTAGGATTAAGCTGCTATGATACTGTAAAGGATCAGTGGAGCAAGAGTCAACTATTAGCACCGAATATGAGGGGGCTTCAAAAATTCAATAACCTTTCAATATATAATACTTACCTGTGAGAATCGACTGGTCAACTCTTAGAGTTGTAGATTTGATGGAAGTTAATCTTATATCAGCAGGAACTTTGTCACCAACTAATTGGGAGAAAAAATGCAACTAAAATAAGCAACTTTTGCAACCTACAGATGAATTTGTCTCCAAATCAAATACAATTTTTAAATAAAGTAACCTGTATACAGCATCAATGTATCAAATTCTGCTAAAACAAGCAAGGTAACCCACCTATGTCAGAGTCATAAAAACTTTGGATGGATACAAGATTTGAATTACACAGGAGCAAGACAATGATGTTTAGGAAAACTTAAGTACATGTTATTCTAAAGAGTTTGGGTCTTGCACAGTGGCATGCATGTGCAATCCCAGCACTCTGGGAGGCTAAAGTGGGAGGACTGCTTCAGGCCAGGAGATCCAGACCAGCTTGGGCAATACAGCAAGACACTGCCTGTACAAAAAATTTTTTTAAAAATTAGCTGAGTGTGGTGGTGCAAACCTGTAATTGCAGCTACCTGGGAGGCTGAGGCAGGAGAATTGCTTAAGTGCAAGAGTTCAGGGCAGCAGTAAGCTATGATGACACCACTGCACTCTAGCCTGGGTGAGAGAGAACCTTGTCACTTAAAAAAAAAAAGAAAAAGAAAGAAAGGGGGAAAAAAAAGAAAGTTTGGTGTAACATATTTTCTTAGGCTTACTACATATATACGAGGCACAGTGAGGGGAGGGGAATCAAGTTGTAAATGTCATAGTTCATTCCATCAAAACAGCTAAATTACTATGAACATGAAACATATATTTTAAAACAGGGGACGTTGGCCGGGCGTGGTGGCTCATGCCTGTAATCCTAGCACTCTGGGAGGCCGAGGCAGGTGGAGTGCTCAAGGTCAGGAGTTCAAAACCAGCCTGAGCAACGACGAGACCCTGTCTCTACTATAAACAGAAATTAACTGGCCAACTAAACACACACGCACACACACGAAAATTAGCCAGGCATGGTGGTGCATGCCTGTAGTACCAGCTACTCGGGAGGCTGAGATAGGAGGATCACTTAAGCCCAGGAGTTTGAGGTTGCCGTGAGCTAAGCTGACGCCAAGCACTCTAGCCCAGGCAACAAAAGTGAGATTCTGTCTCAAAAAAATAAAAAACAGGGTCCTCAAACTGCAGCCCACCCAGGACATTTATCCAGCCCGCCAGGTGTTTTTGCTGCCGCTGCCTGTCTGCTTAGCAGTCGACTGGTCCCAGGCCCATGGTGCACATGTGTGGAATGTGCGCCACACTCTCTGATGGCCCTCCAATGGTCGGAGGGACAGTGAACTGGCCTCTTGTTTAAAAAGTTTGAGGGGCCGGGCATGGTGGCTCATGCCTGTAATCCTATCACTCTGGGAGGCTGAGGCAGGAGGATGGCTCGAGGTCAGGAGTTGAAACCAGCCTGAGCGAGACCCCGCCTCTACTAAAAATAGAAAGAAATTGGCCAACTAAAAATATATATACAAAAAAATTAGCCAGGCATGGTGGCACATGCCTGTAGTCCCAGCTACGTGGGAGGCTGAGGCAGAAGGATTGCTTGAGCCCAGGAGTTTGAGGTTGCTGTGAGCTAGGCTGACGCCACGGCACTCACTCTAGCCTGGGCACAAAGTGAAACTCTGTCTCAAAAAAATTTGAGGACCCCTGTTTTAAAAGATAGCCAATTAGGCCGGGCGCGGTGGCTCACGCTTGTAATCCTAGCACTCTGGGAGGCCGAGGCGGGCGGATTGCTCAAGGTCAGGAGTTCAAAACCAGCCTGAGTGAGACCCCGTCTCTACTATAAAAGATAGAAATTAATTGGCCAACTAATATATATATATATAAAATTAGCCAGGCATGGTGGCACGTGCCTGTAGTCCCAGCTACTCGGGAGGCTCGAGGCAGTAGGACTGCTTAAGCCCAGGAGTTTGAGGTTGCTGTGAGCTAGGCTGACGCCACGGCACTCACTCTAGCCTGAGCAACAAAGCGAGACTCTGTCTCAAAAAAAAAAAAAGACCAGCTTAAGCAAGAGTGAGACCCTGTCTCCATCGAAAACAGAAAAATCAGGCAAGCATGGTAGTGGGTGCCTACAGCCCCAGCTACTTGAGAGGCTGAGGCAGGAGGATCGCTCAAGTCCAGGAATGTGAGGTTGCAGTGATCCATGATGACATCACTGCACTGTAACTCAGGTAACAAAGTGAGACTGTCCTCAAAACACAACATAACAAAAAAAATCAGAGGTACACATAGCTGGAGGCAACTCATCAGGTACATGTGCAGAGATTAATGTAACGTCACTAACTATGCTATATCATGGAATTTTAAAGCCCATTTAATAGTTTACCTATGCTTCCAGACTTTGTGTCTACTTCTCCTGTACATGCTGCTGTGTACATATGAAAGTAACAACAGTTGTAAACTCTAACAGGCAAATTAGCAATATATATCAAAACTGCAAGGCACAATCTTTTTACCCCATAGATTCCACTACTAGGAATTCATTCTATAGATATGTTCACACAACACGTATTCACAGCATGTTTTTTGTTAACAGCAGAATGATGAGACAGCTCTTCATACTGAAGTAAAAATTGTGTATTAAGAGAAGGAAAAAGATGTGAAATGTCACTTATATGGGGCTACTAAAGCTATAATAAAATATCTCCAGGAAGAAAACTGGTAACACTGGGTAAGTGGGGCATGAGTGAAGGGAGACTTTTCACTTTATACCCTTTGGTATCTTTTAAAATTTGAATTATCACATAAATGAATAAACCTCTTCCATAACCTGAAGATCCTTAAGTCACCTGAGCCTTCTTTCCTGGGCCAATGAGTTCCTTTACTAGCCCGTGAAGGGTCCACATCTCAGCCCCTTTCCTTGATGTGTATAAAGTAAAATGCCACAACATAGACCTCTAGTAACAGGTAAAGCCAACTGTTTCACATGTACCTTGAGAACAGTGCCCAGACCATTATTGGTTTCAAATATTGCTGAATGAGTGAATAAGTGAGTGTACATCCACATGAAGGCAGCTGGACATTAAAGTGTCAACAGCTTTCCATTATTTTCTGAAAGGTAATTAAGGTAGTTTTGGAACTCTTATGCAGGTATAGCTAAAAATTAGAATAATTAAATTCACTCTGTAACTGCAGACAGTATTTTTAAGCCAATCTTCATTTTACTCTGCACACTGAATTGTAACCAGTTACATATGAAATGGCAGTTGGGTCCAGTAGCTGCCACCTGTGATCTCAGCACTTTGGGAGGCCAAGGCAGAGAGAGGATCACTTGAGGCCAGGAGTTTGAGACTAGCCTAGGCAACACAGCAAGAACCAGTCTCTACTAGCCATCCCATCCAAGAAGGAAATGGTTAAACTTGTTCCACTTTTTAGTTCTGATTTTTCTGCACTTGAGAGCTTTTAAATTAACAAGAATATGGTTTCGCTTTTGTAACTCTAGTGCATAAACAACACTGTAGCATAAGTAGGCAATGTGGTCATGAGGCAGCACAGAGTTTGTCAATATATAATCTCAAGAGGCAATGATCATCCCTGCATTTGACTGCAGGGACATTTAAGTTAAGGTGAAACTCCTGCTGGAAATGCTTATGCAATGAACAGCAATATTAAGACTGAACAAACTAGAACTTTCCCTTGACTATCTGCTCATACTACACTGAAGAGAAGGCATCTAACAGATGATTAAGACAAAGCAACCATATTCTAAACTGTAGTGATCTTCAATAGCTTAAATGCCCCATACTGTATTATTTCTACTTATCATAATTAGGCTGATCTCACATGCCCTTAAACATTCTGAAAAGAGTACAGTTCAATGCTGAGTGTTATGACCCTAAATGGATTTGCAAATGTTCCTTTGATATCCGAGGCGATTTATGTCATGACTGTATGGGAGTAGAAGAGTTCTGCCCAATGTGGCACAGAGGTCGTCCTCAATCATATCTCTGCATTGTAAGTGCTGAACATACACAGTAATTGTATGTAAACAATCCCACATATAAGCCTTAGTTCATACTCTCACATGCCTGTTTTAAAAGGTCAACAAATTTCATATTCAAATTGAGGACAACCTATAAGAGGATGCAAAAGCAATGTCTTGCCATTTATTCTGTTATGTTTCAGTGGAAGTTCAGAGGATTTAAAATGAATAGAAAATGTACTTTTGAGGCAATAAATACTAAGTTAAACTTCTCAGGTAACACAGGAATCATAGGTTGAGTGAGCATCCTTCATCTAAAATGCCTGGAGCCAGAAATGTTTGAGATTTTAGAATATTTGCTCCATCTTCTTACCAGTTGAGCATACATAATCCAAAAACCCAAAATCTGAAATGCTCCAGTGAGCATTTCCCTTCAGGGTCATGTTGGCTTTCAAAAAGTTTCTGATTTGGGAGCATTTCAGATTAGGGAAACTCAACCTGTATCTATTGGTGTAAGGCAGGACTAATACTATATATATGCTGCGCTAAAAGTTATATTTATACTGGCATCATAAAGAAACCAACAAGGACTCTTTCCCTAAAAGTCTACTGAAATATATGAACATATCTCTCTTTGCTGTACAGAAACTGTACTGATACACATTTAATTGTTGGCCAAATATTGAGGAACACCTCAAATGTCAAATGCTAGAGGAACAAAGGATCTGGGAGGCTCCTAAAACCTGGCCTCAAGCTCTTAACTTTTCTTTCATCTTACACTTTCCATTCTAATTGTGAGGTAATTAAATATATAGGAATTACAAGAAGAGTTGATCTGGGAGCCTTGTATAGGTTTTCAGTACCCACTTTTTAAGTACAGTTTGATACATTTGGAGTGGGGTCTAGGAATTTTAAAAACGTTTTCCAAATACACTAAAAAAGTTAATACAAGGGGTAAAAAACAACTAGAGTCACAGATCTCGTGAAAAGCTTGTTTAGAGCAGCCTTTACACCATGCTGTTAACAAGCCCCTCAGCCTCCCAACACTTGGAAAATGTACTGCTACCTTAAAACTGTATGTTTGAAATGGTTTCCATCAGAAACTGATCTCTTCATGGAAAGATACTAAAGAAACATAAA